ACAAAACAATTTACAAGTACTAAACCAATGAAAACTTGATCACGAAGGTATTTTAATCAAAAAAAAGATGTTAACTAAGTGCAGTTCTGATTCCACAAAAAAATTGTCGGGCGCCAGCAGTCTGTAAGACTACAAAATAATTCAAAATATTTTCAGAGAATTGAAGTATATAAGGGACATTCATGAAATATTGAAGTAAGATTTTCAAAGTCAAAATATAGCTTAAGTTCAATCAATGAACTAAAATTCAAGAGTAAGCTCAATCAAAATTTTCGGGTCATGTGACAACATAAGAACCAGTCAAAAAAAAATTTGAAGTACAATATAGAAAAGAGCAAAATAAATTTCCAAAAAAACTAAGTGCAACACAAGTGCAACTGTAAATCTAATAGTGTTAAAATCATAAAGTGAAAGGAAATATTAAAGCTATATGAGCATGATTTTATAAAGGGTTCTCAAAAAAATTTAAAAGTAAGCAAAATATTAAAAGTTTCATGAGTAATAAATGAGAAACGAAGTGAGCATATGTAAAATGCAAAATAGCGAAACGAAAATCACAAGATATTTTATTAAATCATGATACATGAGAGTAATGCCGCAAGCAAAAATTGTATGCAAAAGACTACGATATATGTAGGTGCAAAATTGGAGTTACAAAAAAATCTAGTGAACAAGAAATAGAAATAAATATGATAGGTAAGAATTCGAATTTTGATTTAAAGCAAAAATATGAGAGAAAGACAACTTTCTAGGGTCACCATAAGTGCACTCCAAAGCCCTAGACAAGAATGTCTATAGTCTATGGAATATTCTCATGTAGATCACTGATATCATCAGCGCACTTCAAAGTCTACACTGAGAATAACCATATCATTGTAAAATGAAAGTTAAGTTCAAATATGAAATATTACAAGGTTAGAAAAACTATAATAATTTACCAGTGTAAAGTATGAAAAGAGAATTACTATACTGAATCTATAAGAATTGGCGATTACTTCAAGTCAAGACAGAAATTGAAAGAAATAAGAAGCCGGAAAAAAGATTATGAGAGCAGACTATCAAAACAAATCCAATAATGCAAAAGCAAAATCACCAGATATTTCAAAATCTATAGCGAAACATGAAAGCAATGTCGCAACCAAGCTCAAGACTTAGCAATACGCACAAATGTGCACAAAGGCTGAAAGCATATATGAAAAATCTCAAGCAGGAATTGACAATTACTTCAAATCAAATTGAACTGATTGAATTGAACTGAGACATAAATAACCATATCAAAAGTGAGTTTTACTTATACGCCAGAGGTTTCAAGAGTTTATCAATACGCACAGATTTGCAACTAGGCGGAAAGCATATATGACAAGTCTCAAGAAGAAAATAAAATGCATATGAAGAAAACACTTTCAACTAAAGAAACTGTGGATAGTACAAGACCCTCAAAGGCATACATCGCAACGAATCTATGTAACTATCCAGACTACAAAATACTGTCAAAGTTCAAAACCACTCAAAAATATGTGAACAAACATCAAAGGTTTGAACCAAAAATCAATGTAAGTCTGTGCTCTCGAAGAAAGTTATAATGAATTCAAAAAGGGGATACTATCAAAAACTTCAAAAGTAATAGACTTCAAAAATAGAAGTACGTAAGTATGTAAAGAAAATTCAGAAAATATACGCATAAAAACATTATAAAATATTATACACAGTATTTGTCACATGATTTAGATCGGGAATGCAATTTAAATTTTGAGTACACTCAGAAAAATGAAATATTCAAAAGATGAAGTATACACATTAAATTGGAATCAGAAAAATAATGATTACTTGTAAATTTTGTACATGGTGGACTGACGTAATGGTTCAAAAGGTTGAAAGAACAACGATGACTAATGTCCAAAGTAAACATTCACCTGCCTTTTACAGGAAATTAGCTTAACAATTATCAAAGGAAATTCTTGTCCGTTCGCATCTGTACTAGGAAATAAACATAGGAAAACCTACAGATCGAAAAACTCGCCCCCTTCGATTGAGCGGAAATATGAGTATTGGACAAATTGTAATATTTCAAAAGGTTGAAGGATCAACGATGACTAATGTCCAAAGTAAACATTCAGCTGCCTCTTACAGCAAATAAGTTTACTCATTATCAAAGGAAATTCTTCTCCGTTCGCATCTGTACTAGGAAATAAACATAGGAAAACCTACTCGCTTCAATGTACAGATCGAAAAACTCGCCCCCTTCGATTGAGCGGTAATAACAAGGATCCAAAACACTATAAAAAACTAACAATACAAACAAAAAGTTTCAATACAAAAACAAGAGCAGCCAAATCTTAAAAAAATTATTTTATATCTGACATACATTAAAAAAGTACAGAGACGTTCAAGTTCTGTTAATCCAATGGAAAATCAGACACTAATGTTCTAATTTCCCCCAAAGAATATGCCAGATAAGACTATAAAACATTAAAATTATGAAAACTTATGCTCCAAACAAGAGACAAAATTACTACAATAAATGAGCATGTGTGTCTTTGTATAGGTAAAAATGATTCAGGAGTCACCCCCCAAGTAGCAAAAATATAGTCAAGAAAAACATCATTTGTTTCTTGAAAAAAAAGGTAAGTATCAACGCACTGTCCAAGTGTCAATACTTTGAAAAAAAGTAAACCGCCAAAATATACGAAAAATTATGAATATCAATTTCATACAATTCAGAAAAATGGATAAATCGCAAAATGATTTACTCCAGATAACTCTAGTCAGTAGATTATTGCCATCAGAATGAAAACAAATGATCAAAAGTTCAAGTACAGTCAAAAATTCAAAAAGTAAATACATTTGGGGAAGGCAAAAATAATTTTGAAAGTAAATTTCCTACGTACCAAACATCATGAGAGCTATATCAGTACACCAGAGATCCAACAATTAGGCTATATATGCGTACATGAAAAGTCTCAAGAAATCAAAAAACTGCACATGAAGAAATACTTTCAAAAACTAAAAGGTTAGTGATCAAAAATGAAAAGCATATAAGAATATGTAAACTATCAACAACAATAGTCACAACCTCAATCAAAAGTTTGATGATATTCGACAAAAATGCTGGGAAACCTAAAGTCCCCAGACTATCAATATTCAACAACAAAAAAAAAAATATCAAAATATCATCAATCTCAAAAGTACAATGAGAAAAAAGTTAAAACTGTCCCCAGCAGTAAATAAAAACTGTAGTAGTATGTGAGAAAAAAAAATTCTGGCAATGATCTCGCTGACTACTAAACAAGACAATTTAAAAGTTAATAGTATGCCTATGAAATAAACAGGTGGAAAAATTTTAATCTTTTGATAAAAATTTTAAACATTAAGCAAAAAGTAAGGATGATTAAGGAATTAGAAATTTGAGTACCAAAAGCAATTAAAAATAGAAATGCTGCCAAAGATTGTAAAGAATTTTGAAAACTATGTTCTGTCTGCCAATCTTCCACTAGCAAACCACTTGTCGACAAAGCCAAACACCTATCGAAGCCTCACGTTGCGGGTGCCAATTTATGTAACTCTTCCTTTCCGCAAAAAGTCCAGAAAAGATGGAATGCAATGAAGATTCCAACTCTTCTGCACAATCACAGAAAGGGGGTTACCATTAGCTTCCGGTAGCTCAGTCGGTGGCATGAAGACATCTACAGGCGTGTAGCTGTGTGTCGACCATGGCATGGCTAGAGGATAGAAGAACAAACAGAACACAAAAATTTAACAGATTTTATTTAACAAAAAAAGGCATTTTCATTACATTACAATTTTACAAAAATAACAAAATAAGTTTTACATCTTTGGCGCTGCTATAACGCTATCGACTTATCTTTCGCTGGTCCCGTTTTACTCGACTGAAGCCAGGATGGCCAGGGGCTTGAAGGGGAGGTCCCAGTTATGAGGGGTGACCTCCATATAGTGGCTTCATAACCAGTTGTAGGCGAAGTTAAAGGCGATGGCGCTGCCAAGGCACATGCATGGGTGAAAATATTGGCCAAGGCTAGGCAAAGTGAAAGGGAAAGAGAAAGGGGGTGGCCCCAATCATTTTTGTCCTATACGGACACACATTCTAGAAATCTAGCACATGGTGCTATATAACCTGGTGCTACTGAGAAGAAATTTCTAGCCGTTGTTCGATCGGCGGCTCAAGTGAAAAGGAAGCGCGAGGAAGATCGCAGATCAGGAACTCCGCATCAAGCGCTCCAAGCGGAAAATTTTCCAAGCAAAAAAGCTAGAGATGGGATTAATGAAATGATAATCGAGAAGTGATTTAATAAATACGATCGGACGGTGAAACCGTTACAAAATATGCTCTCTTTGTCACTATGCTGTCACTTTTGTAATGTATGACCGTTGCTATGACTAATCCCCGTCAATGACGATATTGACTGTTACATCACTACCGACTACGACGCACGACCATCAGCCAGTCGCACGTATCGATACGCGACTGTTGGATATATTTCTGTTATAAAGATAAATGATGAGTGAAATATGTCTAATAGGTGATTAGAATTGTTGGAATTGGAGGCGTATAAATATTGCAACGTCAAATAATTGAGATACATCCCTAACCCCCAATTTTTAATCCCTACAAATCTTTTATCGAATATGATCAGTAGCCTCTGAAACGTCAAAAAACCAAGTTTGAGTAATTTTTACTTTATTCGTTTTTGGGCTTTTGCACCGCCGCCACAGGACCGATTTTCCAAAACTACAAAACTTGTTTGTCTTTGGCATAGTGGTGACCTTGTGTGAAAATCTAATCAAGAATATTTGCTTATAACGGGTGATTTTTTAAGAGGTATAGGATTTGATTTTCAAAAAAAAAACACAAACAATTTGAAAAAACGATTAAATCTTTATTAACGGTCGATACAATTTAATGTTTAAAGATTATTCCATGTAAATGTTGGCCGCGGCTCCGCTTTAGTGGCCCATGCGCAAGGTCCAATTTTGGCACACACTCCAACATATCGGCCGGTATCTCACGAATAAATGCTTCAATATTAGCTTCCAGTGCGTCAATCGTTGCTGGTTTATCCCTGTAGACATTAGCCTTAACATGGCCCCACAAGAAATAGTCCAACGGCGTTAAATCACACGATCTAGGCGGCCAATTGACGGGCCCCAAACGTGAGATAAACTGTTCACCGAACTCGCCTCTCAATAGGGCCATTGTTTCGTGTGCGGTGTGGCATGTGGCACCGTCTTGTTGAAACCACATGTCAGCCAAGTCCAGCTCTTCCATTTTGGGCAAAAAAAAGTTTTTTATCATCGCAAGGTAGCGCTCGCCATTCACAGTTACGTTCCGGCCATTGTCGTCTTTGAAGAAGTACGGCCCGATGATGCCATCGGCCCATAATCCACACCAAACAGTGATTTTTTCGGGATGCATTGGTAGCTCTTGCAATGCTTCTGGCTGGTCTTCACTCCAGATGTGGCAATTTTGCTTGTTAACGTACCCATTCAACCAGAAATGAGCTTCGTCGCTGAACACAATTTTTCGATAAAAATGTGGATCTTCCTCCAACTTTGCCAGCGCCCATTCACCAAATTGGAAACGTTGTGGGAGGTCGTGTGGCTTCAATTCTTGCACCAGCTGTATCTTATAAGGTTTTACACCCAAATCCAGTCGCAAAATGTTCCACGTAGTGGTGTAACAGAGGCCCAATTGCTGCGAACGGAGGCGAATCGACATTTCACGGTCATCAGTAACACTGGCGGATACAGCCGCAATATTTTCTTCAGTCCTCACTCTATGTCTGCGTGTTGGTGGTTTAATGTCCAATAATGTAAACTGGGTTCGAAATTTAGTCACAAGCTTCCGAATAGCTCCCTCAGTAGGCCGACCAAATTGTCCATAAATTGGAAGCAGTGCTCGATGCACTCTCTTAACCGAGCATGAATTTTGATAGTAAAATTCAATAATTTGCAAGCGTTGTTCGTTCGTAAGTCGATTCAGGGTTAAATTATAGACCAAACTGAACAAGTTTGACAATGACACAAGACACGATTCACGCGTTATCTGTCAAAAACAGTGTTGCCAAAAAGATACTAGCAAAAAAATCCCCCGTTAGTTATGTAATCGCAGAAAATTTTGGAAAAGAGATATTGTTTTATGGATGTTATATGTCGTGTACATCACGAAAAACCATGTCACACATTTCCGTCGGTCTGTACATCAATCTGTCTGTCTGTCCGCTAATCTATCTATAACTTGGAAAGTACTGCTCGGATTTTGATGAAACGTTTACACAAGGTTGCTACTATTCCAAGGACACAAAAGCTTTGTAGATTTAGGAAATCGATCTAGTAGCGGCGGAAAAGAAGGCCAATAATAAATGAATTAAAAATCGCTCAAACTTCATTTTCTGACGTTTCAGACGGTACTGATCATTTTCGGAAAAAATTTTTAGGGGTCGAAAGTTGAGGGTTAGTGGTTGCAAGGGGTACGGGAAGGTGTATCTCAATTTTTTTACGTTGGTGTATTTATACGCTTCCAACCCCAGTAATTCTACGCATATATCAAGCATATTTCACTCATAATGGATGTTCTCGTACATTTACCTTTAACATTGAGAAATATCTCGTACAGCTGGCTGTCGATACATGTCATCCCCCGATGGACAAGCGTCGTTGTCTGTGGTCGTGCGTCTTAGTCGGCAATCGCTTCCACACCACTGTTGGCTGCGTGCACCCTGCACGTTGTGCATCAAGATACAACTGTTCATCAAAAAGTTTAGGAAAGTTTATTCAGTACCTGCCTAAGGAAGATTAATCCAATTACTAAAATCTAAATTTTCACCTATTATAGAATTTTTGCGAGGTTTTGGGAACATTTTGTGTCACCTTACCGGGCTATTTCATGAAAAGTAACGACAACCATTGTTGTAATTAGCGAAGATTCTGTGCGGTTACTAATGAGGTGGGTACCGAGAAAGACGAGTTAGCTCAAGATCGGAAAAAACACGGCATGCGCCTGTGCTGGCTGCTAGCCACCTCCGGTAAACTGATGGTTTACCTTTTCGGAATTGCTAAGAGTCAGTATAACTTTTCCAACTGGTTGTTATCACGTGGAACTTCAAGTATAATTTTATTTGATTTGATGAATGCACTTAAATTTTGCTTCGGTATTTTTTTTTGAGATTGTTTCTGAATGGTGAGATGGTTTCCAATTTTTACTTGGAATATAATGAACTGGGGAGGCACTTTAGCATAATATTATGTAATTTCTTGTATTTATGTTGTGTTCAAATTCACTTCTATGTTGTTCCGTACCTTCGTGGACATAGTGATATGGCAGGTATTGTGGACCGAGACATTTTCCATATCTGAACATAAAAAAAGTTCAGGTTACTGAACCGATTTTGAAGAAATTCTGCATGGAAGCAAAGTTACCTAGGAGTAACGTAGAACTAGACGAACGATTGAAAAATCAGGACCGGATTCATTTTTTTCACTTATTTGTTTCTAATCAAAATCAACACCTTACAAGCTGAATATTGAACGGATTGTCATTGTACAAAAAGCCAATGAATGGTACTTATCAATTAACAGAATAGATAGATTGATTGTGCCTTTTTTGTTCAACTAGTAAAAAATGTTGATTTTTTCAAATGTCTTATTGTTAGTAGTTTATATCACACAAAACCCAAAATTTCAGGGGTTATCAACTTAGTTTCATTAACATTCCACAAAATAACGCTTAAAATTAAAGTGTAGACGTTTTGAGCCTCAAAATTTCAGTGTTGGATTCAGTCTGTCTTATTTCATTGAATGCCTTTTTATTAAGTGCAACGACCGTATAGGTTATGCTCTGAATTTATTATTATCTCGCAGAAAAAAAGAGCATTACTTAAGAGTCTAGGGGTTGCGCAAAAAGGACTCCAGGATTCCGCGAAATTATTCATTTTTGTCGAACTATGAATCAATCATCACTAAAACAGTGAAAAAATTTAATCCTTCGGATTAAAAGTTGACGTTAAGAATAAAGTGTTTCAATTTTAATATATTTATAATAAACGTCTTTTTCGTACAAATTACAATGTCTTTGATTTGTAATAATTTAACATGGGGTTCCAAGAAATAAAAGATATTTCGTGGGTGTTCCGTTACCTTGAAGGGTTAGGAGCCCCTGCTTCAGAACATCTATTTTCATAGAATGTGCATTCTACTTAGTAACTGTACCGGCGCTAAAGAAACGCGGCGTCTGAGTGCTACTTCCCTTCTCGAGTCTGTCACCTAATGCTAGGGACATTTTTTGACTGCGAAAGCTTTTGTAGACACTGGCAAAAATGCTGGATAGCATAGCCCTATCGGCCTCTCCTACCGATATATGGGGACATTCAAGGAACTGATCTTAATTTATTGAATGAAGATTTAAAACTTATTAACGTTAATTCCATACTAATGGATGGAGTAGATATCAAAAATTAAACATAGAGGTTGACCAAGCTGACAATAACGTTGTACAGTTTCAAATAGATATTTGTTTTTCCCAAGCGATGGAAAAGAGCCAATGGCGTGATGAACGAGTATTCATCAGACTCAAGAAATATGTTTGCTACAAGGTGTCACATTGCTTCAACAGAATTTACCGTCTATTTTTCAATATATCGTTGCATGGTATCACTGTATTATTTATGTTCCATTTTTAATAATACGGTGTCTTCACAGCTGGGTTTTTTCTTTACAGAGCGTTTAGGTCAGGTAATAATAAGCAAGTTTTCCTAGTAACACATATACCGAGATCTTCAGTTCCGATAACTTGAAGCTAAATGGATCAGTCGTATTCTGCCTCCCTCTCCTTGGTTTGTGGTTCTATGTGAATCAGTATCGAAATCAGGCCCCGCACAGTGTATAGCTTACAATAGTTTATCAACTACCGGCCTATAGCTCTACTTTCTGTTATAAATAAGGTGATAGAGAGGTGCATAAATCGCGAGCTTCTGGACTACCTCGAACGTCACAACTTGATTAGCGACAGGCAGTATGGTTTCCGGCACCAACGATCCACAGGGAACCTCCTAGCTTAAGTCACGCAATTGTGGAGTAAACTCATCCAGTCTTATGGTGAGGCTCATGTCGTTGCTCTTGACATCACGAAAGCGTTCGATCAGCTGTGGCACGCTACCCTCTTAAGCAAACTTTCCATCCTATGGTTTCCCAGAAAAGCTTTGCAAACGGGTGGTTGACTTTATATCTGGCCGCAAGATATCCGTCGTAATTGACAGGTTCTCCTCTTCATCCCACAACGTCAACGCGGTTGTTCCCGAGGGATCGGTCTTGGCTCCAACACCGTTTCTCTTACATATCAACGACCTCCTTTCCCGCACGATCAACCCAATCCACAGCTTCGCTTATGGCAGCACTCTACATGAAGGAATTCAGAGTGACAAGCCGATCTCTGCCGCTGAGCTGGAAAAAAGAAGACTAGCGACGACTTCCTCTCTGACAACAGACCTGCAGGCTATCACTGCTTGGGGACGCAACAATTTTGTACAGTTCAATGCTTCCAAAACACAGTACTGTAATTTGACGAACAAAAAGCGTCCTAGCGCTCATCCAGTTTCGATGGACGGCCGAGTTCTGCCAAAGAGCCATTCATTTCGGCTGGTCGGAGTCCAGATCACCGAGGACCTGATCTGGCACGAACACATCTCGTCAATAGCTGCAGCTGCTGGGAAAAAGCTAGGCTATTTGTTTAGGGCTAAGAAGTACTTTTCTCCGCATGACCTTCTCACTCTATACAAGGCTCAGATAAGGCCTAGCCTCGAGTATTGCTCACACGTTTGGGGTGCTGCCGCCCCGACTACATTATCCATGCTCGATGCTGTCCAGAGGAGGGCGGTCCGACTAATCGGTGACTCTTCTCTAACAGACAGTCTCGGAACTCTTTCGCACCGGCGGACCGTAGGCAATCTAGCTCTTTTCTATTGCTACACCAACGGGCTTTGCTCCTCAGAGCTCTCTTCCATGATGCCGCTGCGCGATGTGCCTGCCAGACAGGCCCGCCTGACTTTGGCGTCCCATCCTGACCATGTTGAACTTAATATACATTCAACTGGCAGATACGACCGCTCCTTTGTCTCGAGGGTTTCGCGATTGTGGAACAATCTACAAGAGGAAGCTTTTCTCAGTTCTACTAACATTAGGCAGTTCAAAAATCGTTTTAACAAAGTTTCTTTGGAATCATCATAGCAGCCACGGTGTTCCTGAATTTAGGCTTCTGCCTGCGCGACTGCTTCGATATATGTATATACAGGGTGACTTCGAAGTTGAGTCATTTATTTTAACAGTGAGTAGATCTGATCAAAAGAAATGTTTTTTTCCTTTACCATTTTTCTGGTAAAATTAAAGTAACAAAGTTATAGCCCTTTGGAAGTTTGAGTACCACCCTGTCTCAATAATAATATTATATGTTCGTGTTTGGCGACAACGGATATAATCCGCCTGACCGGTTCATCGCATCGGAAACAAAAAAGCGAAAGAATTTGAAACGTTTATCACGATGTTTTTCGTCAGTCGATACCGCGTTAGTGAATAGTAGTGTTTGTTGCGTGGCTCAAACGAAATCAAAAATGGCACATGTTTACGAAAATGCTGAACTTGTGGACATGATTCTTATTTACGGGGTAGGCAGTCTTTACAAAATGCTCCCGGATGCATCACGGATTTATGCGAATCGGTTTCCCAATCGAGTGCAACCAACCCCTCGTGCCTTTGTTAATGTAGTACAAAGGGCTCGTGAATCAGGTGACTTAAGACCTCACAGGTCAGGGCATGCTGCTCCAAGACCGCACGATCAAATACAGGTCCGCACTGAAATACTTGTCGGGACGATACTTTATTAAACAAGGTAACATTTTTTTTTATTTATTTTTTTATTTTTACACACATATTTTGGTTTATCTTCCTTCTACAATCATTATCTGAAAACTAATGACTCAACTTCAAAGTCACCCTGTATATATATTAAGGAAGCCGCATTTGAGAAACCGAAATTGGTACATTCCTAGAACAATATCGTAGTTATGGATTTGATGTTAATTTACTGTGAGCGCCTTCAAGATCCTGTTGATACTTCGCGAGTGTATTCACAATGTCATTTTCAAAGTTCCCGAGAGAGCTGCAAAGGCTTGTGCATTTCGTGCAAAAGCCGTCTGGGTGAAAACAGTAGAAGGCTTAGACGGCCCCAAACGCTGCAAATTTAGGAAGAAGTAATTAAAGTTGTATTTCTGAAACAAACAGCGGCAACAAGCACCATTTACAAAAAAAAAAACATGAGACAGGGCCCTACTTGGGATGCTTTATCAAATGAATAGTGAGTATTTTTCTTCAGTTTCATTTTTAGATTTTCGGTGCTGTTTTATCCTGAATTAGATTTGTTATTTCGAACGTAGTTGTTTCTGAATAGGAAAGTCTCCAGTTTCAGAACATCCTGTATTCAGCTCCTTCTTTTCGTGAACGGTATTAGAGCATACCACGGCAATTGTTTAAACAATTGCTAAGAAAGTGGTTCCCAGGCTGCTTCGGTTCGCTTGTCCGAATGCCCGCCCCCACGGCAGTGTCCGCCAATGCGGCCCGACCTTCGCGGGTGCGGCCTCCTGGTACTGCTGCCGCCGAGTGCAGAGGAGCGGCGGGCGCCCTCTCCATGGCACTCTAGATTATCCCCGGTCGTACCGCGCCGCGGCGACGCTCACGCTCGACGCTCGACGTCCGTGTCGCCGCGCCGCGACCGTCAACTGTCTCACCTTTTCGCCGCTGCACCTGCCATGCCGATCGACCGCTCGCCGCTCTCGTCGAGCTTCTCGCTCAACGAGATAGAGATGGTAGTACCTGTACAGCGTTGCCGAGTTATAAATAAATTTCTTTAATTTCAGAAAGCAGCTTATACGGGCACTATTAGTGACAGGCAGTGTTTTGATACTGTCGGCATTAACGTATGCGCAGTTTGTGACACTATTTCGACCGCCAGTAATATAAATAGTGACTGTATCGAATTAGACATTCTTGTCAACTTCGACCTTCCTTACAGGTGTTAGCACTTTCAAACTCACTTTCTTAAGTTGATGGTTGTGTTTGGGCCGTGACTCCATGAACTAAATAAATGTATTTTTACATCACAATGGCGGCAGGCACAGTGGTCACAATATTGCTTAGCCCTATTAGTGCCTGGCCTTATGAAGTGGTTTGATAATTCCCTAATACCGTTTTCAAAATATGATAAGCTATGCCAAAGCCGTCAGGTACAATGCTGCCGCATGTTGCCCTATATTAGAATATTTCCCTCACTGTGCTTGTTCAGTAAACATCTATATACTGGAGTTGGCTTGAACTCACCCATTGAGAAATGGAGGCTAAACGTTTCAGTATCATCAACGTTGATATCCTGTCCTTTGGTCATTGCAATACTTGACCATTGAGAGTCTCCCTGATTAGAATGAATCTTCAACAAAAAGGCTATTTAATAAGTTTCTTCATCACTCTAGCAATGGCTTTGAAAACAATACTTTGGGTATCTTTGATTTAGAAGTCAAGAGAAACTGTAATACTTAAACCAGTTCGTTGGAAGGCACATTAGATTGTTGCCATTACCGGAATTGATTAGTGACCTATTGACATAGATTCTCATAAAGCTTTTTGCTTCTGAAGTACAAAAATTCATCATGTATTATTTTAATTGCAGATCCTGTGTGCGACTTCTGATCATCATCATATCGACGGATCCAACGAAAACTGTTGTAACTCAAAATCCACAGTTTTGAGTAAATCGACTTTAAAAGTTCAAGCAACTGTGATAAATCGGCGTTTTAAGTAAAAGTTTTGATACTTTGTTGATCGAGTAATCAACATAGATTTATTTAGGACACATTAATAATTATCACATAATTATAAATAGTTAAAGTAATTATTATTCCTAGCTCGATAAACTATAAATATACGGTTTAACAGCATTATCTCAAAACTTGAAAAAATTTAGTTACTACAGTTTCCGTTGGAGCCGTCGATATGTCTGTTCAATCAACAGTGTCCTATTAATAAGCCTGATGTGGTCCTTCCTCCATATTATTTTAGAATTATGAATATTTTTTCATTCCAAGCAACCCCTGCTTTCATCAGTTAATATGTAATTTTGTTCGGGTTAAATGAGCCGATAATGTTGCGATCAGACTTGCAATGAGTGAGTCGCAAGCCTCTAGTCTAGCTCACGACTACCTACTTATTCCGTTGCGGTCACTGCGGGTTACGTTTTCTACGATTCTAAGCCTTATATATGGGAACATTTATGTGCGAGACATGTTTAATACATGCGTAAAGTTACTGAAGTTAAAAGCGTTTAAATATATTATTGTCAAAACTTTAGATGTAATCATGAAACCTTCCACCCTGAATTGTTTACCCCCCAGTCTCTGGAGCATCAAAAAACGAAGTTCATGCCATGTTTATGCAACATTCAAAACATATAAAATCTCATTTTTGATTCTTTCTGCGGGTACAATATATGCTTGCTATTTGGCATAGAGAGTAAGAATAAATCGATCAAGTTCCTCACTAGTCAATTTGAACAAGTCAGAAACCAGGTAAGCTAACTTAAACTTTATTTTGTTGGTTAAATTCAAGGTTCTAAGCAATGGTGAACCTTCATCTTCGAGATGATGGTACCTCTGTTCTGTACAGTGTATTTGAGGTAATCAGTTTTTATCGCATATCTAACCATTCGACAAGATCTCCCGTTATCTGTCCAATTCATTCGCAGTTCAATCACTTGACCTGTTGGTCAGGACCACAGGTGAGTCGTGCAAACCTGGCAACCTGGCTATAGTACCGTCGGTAGTCGACAGTAGTACCATCGTAGTAGACCGTGCGCAGTCCGTCGGGCACGCGTCCTCTTCAACTGTTCGCCGTTCCGCTGCTAGCGCGATCGTCGCTTGTTTCCGCGCAGCGCGTGCTTGCCGGGATTTTCCGGACCTACTGAGATTTTCCTCGAACTCTAGCGTTTGACAGTGACATTAGTTTCTTCAAAGTTTGTGTACGTTATACAATCCAACCAATATGCAGCTTGTGGTTGACACCTGTTGATTCTTTGATCAGTTGTTAGGTGGATTCTTAATGTATGGTTTCTGCACCATATATTTATATTTTTGGAAAAGAGATGGGTTGTTATGAACGGATTTTAAACTTCAAATATTAAGCTCATACTTTGAATAGTGAAAAGTTATGATCGTAGAAGTTATAGGATCAGTTGCATATATCTACGTTGTTCTCTTGATAACGGAATTACTTAAGCTAAATAGTATTGGAAGAACTAAATGAGTAGAAAAAAATGGCCACACTATATAACAACCGAAAAAATTGAGGAAAATAATTCGAATTTATTTGAAATGCTGGGAATAGCTCCTTTCAGGACAGCAACATAATGGTAATATAGGTAATAAGTAAAGTCTTGCAAGAATAAATCTAAGATCCGCTGAACTATAGAGTTGCCGAATCTGAGCCTAATTTCTATCTACTGCTGATCACTCCATCAGAATACACTCTACAATTATTGCTTGCTTCCTTCAACTTGAAAAGCTTTATAATAGTTAGGGCCTTCCGCCTACCGCATTCCACCGCCAGGTAACAATGGTTTATCTAAAGTTATTGCTTCTAAAATTACAACCGTCAAAAATGTGGCTGCAACAGCAAGGACAATAATTTTGAAATATTTGACCTTTTTGTTATTAGTGGACGGCATGCTCCAAAATGTAAGAAATAAGTGATTTCAAAGTACTCCTAATGAGGTAAGATCATGTTGCTTAAAAGGTGTTTCATGTAGTTTTAATTTTTAGCTTTCAACTGTGATTGTTTCCAAAAAATGGAACTTTGGTCGAAAATTGTCTTCCAAATACGTAAATGATCCACTTTATCATGAGATCTCGCAATTTTTCCACGTATTGCATACAAACTGGGCAGTAAATATCTTTATTCGTTGCGAATTTATTAGCCTACTTTGAAAAAATTGATATATACAAGATGCTTGCTCACACAATCTGGAGATACTTTTATAAGCACCAGCTTGTTAGATTTACGTCACAGACGACTTTACTTGATGTAGTCAACAATTGAGCAAGATCTTCGCTAGCCATTCGTTGCATTTCCAACTACACTGTCAAGTACTAATTGTATCATTATACAATATAATTAGTACTGTTTACTACTACGACTATATTTTGGTCTACCTGCTAAGTTCAGAGTATTGACCGTTCTTTGAGGTTGCTCAAACTGGTTTCAAAATTGGTTGAAGTCGAAATAATGTAAAACTGGAACCTAATCTTGCTAGCTCACAAGTTGAATGATACCACTTTTAACTGACAAAGAGCACCAACTATTAAATACCAATATTTAGAATTATTCTTGAAAAACGTACCTATTTGGAAGCAGCCTGAAGGTTTTAATACAACATATTATTTGCTTAACCTGATTGAATGCTTGAAAGGTGTAAAGCAAATGACATTTGAAACTTCAGTATTGTTGTGTTAATGGTTTTAACCCTGGACCTTATTTAAATATGACAAATCTGCTACAAAATGGTTATGTGCACCTTAGTAAGTATATTACATCCTTTTATCGTAGCTAACTTTTTTCATTTAGAACACCAGAGTGTCAACAATTACGTAATCCATGGCAAAATGACGTCTGATATAATTTTCCCCGAGAAAAATGTAATTCTAAACATAAACAAACATTTTCTTTGCAAATTTCGTGAAAATTAACAAAATATTCTTAAATTTTTGATCATAAGCGTTATTCAAATGAATCTGGTGTTCAATGCTGAATAAGGTCTAGATATCAGTTTTTGCAAACGATGAATTTCATGTTTTCCAGAAGCTTACGGTTTTGGAAAAAAAGTGGATGGTCCAAATTCTTCGTATCTCTTGGACCCGACGTGTTCTCCATCGTGTTTCTATGGCTTTATACTAAAGAAAAAAAAAAGATAAAATAATTTATACGTATTGAATAAGTACCGTCAATTGATAATCATGATTATCAAATAGGATAGCAAAAATAATTATATATTTAAAATAAAGTGAAATATAACATTAGTGAGGCTACGCTAACCCCAACGTTTTGAAAAACGTTATTCTGTCGCTTCTAAAGCACAACTGAAGATTTTATGTAGAGCGTTCTCCTCTAAACAAGTCCTCCTCCTAATGCAATAAATGGCGTGAATCTACTACTAATACAGTCGAAATGCCAGGGCTGGAACAATTTTGAGAGGTTTGGGTAACCCCTGTGTTTGACCTGCTGATAATGTTCACTACATTTTTCAATAATTAACTAATAACAATGTAGCTACAAAAACCTTGATTGCTTAATAAAATGCTGCATATTACAACTAACAGCGGATGAACAACAAGTTTTATTATCGTCAATGGCAACGATATCTCAGCAGGTATGCGGTAAATTGATTTCATGAATGGATTTGTCAGATGTACATATCGATGTCCTGATACTTCTCAACTATATGTGATCGCAATTAAACAAATCAAGTAGTCTGACTCAGTACCTTTCACTTTTAAATTCGTTATAACTGAGCATAAGCTTTGCGGGGTCGGGAAAAGGGGCCAAAGGTAGCCTAGTTGTCAGGCTTCGCCTCACCACCAATACCCATACTACTAATACTAGCTCTGTGTGAAATTTATGAAGTTGCCCTCAATGCCTCTGAAGCCGTGCCACAAAAATCAAACCTAGGCCCTTTTCTGGTTTTACTCTGCATGAATAACCTGGCCGCTAGTAGTATCACAATCGACTACCTACGCCAAAATTACAAAACACGATTATCTTTGATTACCCCATAAGTAATGCATTTTTTCGAGAAAACAATAGATACTAAATATCTTGTTGTATTCTAGGTTTTATAATCCGCAACTGCCGTAAATTTTTATTTCGCTTGCGCGACCAAAACTTGAGTACGCTTTTTTTATATGGAGCCCTTTCTATACATATTATATAAACGGATTAGAAAAAATTTCTTAAATATTCTAGGTACTCTGTAAAATTGATTGCGTGTAACCAGAAAGGTTGGTCAGTCAATTCATTCTGCTGCGACGTTTCAACCTAGAATTGAGACGTTCCATTGCTGACCTGACATCTCTCCATAATAAGCTTTTGCACGAGAGAGTGGATGCAGCAGAACTTCTCCAGAGGCTGAATTTTTGTATACCGCATTTAAATTTGAGAAGGACTCTATATAAGTTAACTGTAGCACTTCCCGTACGATCGAATCAGTTTATTCACTGTTATATTCTATAATCAATAATTATAAATCCATAGTAGACAGTTCTGACATTAATTAAGATTGTATTAGTAAAAGCTTCACAGGCTATTAGAATATCTAGTTATTTTATGTTCATGTTATGTGGTTCTTGTATGCACACTATTAGTTAAGCTACCATTATATTGCCCTATAACTGGATTAGTCTGTTGGGCAATTATGTATAAATAAATAAATGTTTCCGTACCAAGTGCACTATGTCCAAAAAGCGTCGTACGTGTATGTTTTTGTCGGTTCTGTCGAGAGCTATTCTGTTCCTGCAAAGGGTCAGATGCATTTATAACATCCTCAAATTTCTTTTTGCGTATCTAGCACACTATTTGAATTTTGATGGACATATGCGTATTCTTGTGCACATATTTTGCTCTTAGCAGGTCATGAGGAAGTAGTTAGACACGATGAATGCTGTGACATTCTAATGGTCACCAGTCCCATTAATCTCGGGCAAGTATCCAATATGGCAAACGAACATATCAAGTACACGCATGCTACAACGCGAATGCACTGTTTAATGGGTATTAATATACTCTAAGGTCTGACTTAATGGATTAAGACTATAAAATATACATAGTACGTTCTGGCATCGGAGAGACAAAAACAGGATGTGAGAACCGGGTTACAAGCTGGACTATTGAATCAAAGAATACACTGAAGCAAACTATAGATATTCACAGTTCTACTAAAACCGTTTTATAGTCCCAATGACCATTGCATGCAAGCTCTTGCAGTTGCAAGGTGGCATTGTTTTGTCTTCAATCACTTGCAGTTGCAAGACATCCATCCCTGTATCCTCGATTCAAATGAGCAAGGTTAGCCAACTTAAACGAGCGAAATATTCCCTGTCACATTCCTAAGCTATAATCTTGGCTTTGGTTTTTTACCCTTCAGAGCGCAGGTTTTAGTAACAAGAAACGCCGAAGATCCAACAACAAAACGCAATCAAACCTATATATGTAAACAATTAAATCTAACCACACAGACCTCCGGACCGACCTAGACACAAAAATCCAACTGATTTTCGTGCAAGACCCAGTTGCAATAAATGACAGGCAGAACCTGTTATTTTGTTAGTGCGCATGTGTCTCATCGACATTTCTCTTGCCCCGTACTGTCTGTAAAACGGGGGCCAATGCATCTCCACGGCTAGGCGACCTGTATGTTAAATTTGTATTGATAGGGCAGCGGGTTATGCTATATATCATATGTCACAGTGTTTGTGCACTGATTGCAACGGTTAGATGATACCAAGGATATTTTCATAAATAGGAGATCATTCCCATTCCGGATCGAGCATTCTATCAAAGATGCTTATAATCGTTATACCTACTAAATTTTCTCGAAAAAAATTCAAAACCAGCAAATGTAAAAGATTCATTTCGCACCCTCCACCACGGGACGTGATCGTCGTTAGACTTGGCAACCCTGCGAGTGACAGATAGATGTCCTCGCCAGTCAAAAAAAGACAAACAATAAACATTACTAGTTTTTATGATTTTTGGACTTAAAAGACATTATTTGTGAAACATTTTTCATAATTTTTTGTCTATGTCCATAGTAATTGCATTATGCATCAGATGAGATGTGGGGTTTGACACGTCTTACACATATTATCTGTGTTTTAGGATGGAGAGGACATAATGTTTTTCTTGCTTTGAAGAAATTCATTAACCCATAAATTAATAAATGATTACTATTATGACGTAAAGGAAGATGAGGAGTTGGATGGAATGTATTTTATATTCTATTTTATTGAAAAAATACAGACAAATCCACACTATTCAACAGGTATGTAATGATAACTTTCAGTATATTGAAGTTGGTAAATTCGAGAGTGCCATGCATTAACAAACGTCCAAATCTGCTGCCAAATTTAACAACTAGAAAATTTGCCGCATTCCCATTCGCTGAGGGGATAACGGATTGTTAAATGTAAACCTATAACATATATGAAAATACATGAAAGTTGTCCTGTTTTTTCTGTACAAAAGCATCATGTTGGAATCAAAAATTGGTCTTGTTTATAATTATATTTATACGATTTTATTCAATATTTCAATAGAAATCGCTAATATTCAGATACCTTTGACAGCTTCTGTCAAGTTGCATTTCGAAAAGGTATTTTCTCATTGGTCCATAAGATTAATGTTGGTGAAAATGGGCCTAAACAAACCAACCACTGTAGTACTCGTTCCTCTATCAGCTTTAGATGGAATAAAATCTAAACAAATCTAATCGAAACTTGGGATATAATAGATTGCTAGAATAAATACATGCCAAAAAATAAATTTAGAAATTTGGGCTAATACATCTGCAAATAAATAAAATAATCTCGCAGATGGCCTTGTGCGCGGATAAACATTTATAATTTGCCGCAATATGTGCTCAAGACACTAAGCTTTCGTCTTAAAAGGATATACATAAAGTTGCAGAATTTTAATAATGGTTGAAGTTTAACTAAATTAGAGAATTAGATTAAGTAAAAATTTTGATCTAATGCTAGGCTAATTTTTTTTGAACTCCAATCATTTGTTAAATGTCATTTTTAAGGTTTATGTTCAAGATTCATATTTTATTTCTTAATAGAGTAACAAATTATATCAAGACGCTATCGGTAGTTTCTTGATATCAATCGTTTGTAAAATGTCATGTCTGGATAGGCCTAAGATCAATTTTTTTATTTCTGAATGGAAAAAGCTTTTTAACTGTATTTGTTTTATCTGTTGTGGTATCATATAAAACACCTGGGGCCTAAGAAAAAAATATGACCGTTGTAGAACATTCTTTTCTGGTTTGGGGACATCAACATAATTTTTTATAAGTTTTATTCATGTCTGACGACATTACGTTAATGTTTTATGCTGATTTATATATTGCCACCGGAGTATATATGTATAACAGATATTAGTTGTCTAATATCAAGATTGCTAGAGTCGTGGAAAAGCTGAAATGTACTGTACTGTACTGACGCAATTTATTAAATATACTATTAAATATTGCTTCTTGGATTGTCTCCAGCTAAATATGCGTCTTACCCCAAGCAATGATACTATATTCTATGAGACCTTGCACTAGTGCATGATAAATAGTTAAAATTGGGAGTTTCTCTAATAATTTTGAAAGGTGACGTACATTATATAACATAGTACGTAGCTTTTTAACTAGAAACGTTATCCGAATGTCTCAGCGTAAGTGGGAATCAATATGGATTCCAAGATTCTTAATGCTGTTAGATGAATCTATATAAAACTACCTGTATGACCTTGCAAAACTGTAAAAGTTTCATAATTAGGTAGATAATTCAAAAATTAATCGAGATAAACTTCAATGGTGATTTTGTATTATAATTTGGATATTCCTGCTCCATACGACACATTGCAATGAACTAATGACAGCGCAAATACAGAGAGTGTGTCGTGGGGTGTAGTGTATTGTTCGGAAATTCCGAAATATGGAAACATGAATCATCTTATATAAATATCGAGAATGGACTTTTTTGATGGTTTCTGGGACATTGAATCGCCTATAACTTGAAAACAGTCAAACTTAGAGAAATGTAACTGAGAACCCTTTTTGTTCAAAATTATCAAAATGCAAAAAAGATATTTTGTAATTTGCTTAACTAAATTTTTAAACAAAATGCCCAGCAACCTGTTGGTTCATGTTATGAGGCATCCGACAAACGTAATTACATTAAACAAATCGAGTTGGAAAACGTCTCTCGTAGGTTTTCGCCTCATCTATTAAGAATTGTAAATATTCTAGTGACCACTCTTCGACTCCAAACACAGACACCAAACTTTGTTTTCATTTACGAACCCACGCTATTGAAGAATCAACAGGTAGATGCGACCCGACCCGAAGGTTGACCCAAGCGAAAACCCTCTTTCTTTACAGCTCACGGTGCTAAGTAGGAGCCTTCCTGAATTTTAAGTAAGTCGGAGGCACAACTGCGGTTTAGTGAAAGGGTATAGGGTAAGAAGAGGACAGCTGGCAGTGATGGATTAGCTGAGTTCCAGGAAGACAGGACAGAGCATGGACACCGAAAGTCCCGTTGTTTGGCCGTCTTGGTGTTACTCAGGTTAGCAATGCTTTAATGTTAGCTTTGTTTCAACAAACCAAAGAACTAGTTCTCTACCGAAAGAGTATGCGCAGATTGAAATTGCCGTCTTAACAGAATATGGAACTGATTCCACAACTGTGTCGCTATTCCAAAAAATTCTGCACTGATTTCGAACCGAACTCATTATACGTCAGTTAAAAAGTGACTATATAGATATTATGACATTATGTAGGTTTTTTGACATTATGCGGGATTTCATATAAAATGTCACCTTTGAACTAGCAAACAAACACTTAATGTTCACATGTAGCTCACATTTCAACAACTCTGCCGAGCAGCCGAATTATCTAACTTGAAAAGCGACATTTTATTTATTTTGCGACATTTTGCAGGTTTTATTGAAATTAAGAAGATCTTTCGCTTCATGCTCACTTGTAGTGGGTGCCAAATGAACTTGCGGCACACTAACGGCTACCTGAGAGAGAGCTGAAAGTTCGAAGTTCATAGCGCATGCCCGTTTATAGAAAAAATGGCGTCGATCAGCTGTTCATTGTGCCATTTTTTACATGTTCATAAAATGAGTAGCGGTGGAGATTACTTTGGAACAGATCTAAGTGGAGATGATGATCGAGCTGATTATATGAAATCCGACTAGCAATAAAAAGTACATAGAACAATTCTTGTTAATTTCAATGAATTTGTTCCAGTCATGTCATGAGTCATATTAATGTTATATTTTTCTTCCATTTCAAGTCATCTGTAACATCGTGTTCTTAACCTTTTACTTAAGTTCCTGCTCTGCTACTGTAGCAGAGAATCATGCTTCCTCTAGAAACAACATTAATTTTTCCAGTTCTGAAAAAACAAGACTTCATACTTTTTCTTTAAAATATTTCACCAAGCTATCAGTATGTTGTTATTAGGTCTTCCTAACTATAAATTCTCTTAAATTCCAGATCTAGCACATGGAAACTTGATCATTCGAAGTTTTACTTCAATTAAGGTTACGTTTACGAAAACAAACCATGTAACTCTCTGTTCCAACAGAATAGTTTTAAGCTAGTCCGGAACTGCTTGTTAGACACAAACCTATAATTTGTTCCAGGTTTGTTTGAATGCAACTAAAATTAATGTAACAATAGATGATACAGTCTGAACTAGAAATTAAATCAAATGAAGTTCAACAAAATTGAAAAAAGTTAACAATTAAGGAAATTAATCGGAAATCGAGAACAACGCAGCAGACAACGAAATTTTCGGTGAGTGCGTCTGATGTATTTATAGGCGATTGGGCGGATCAGAACGGACGAGCGACTAAACGCGCACTTAAAAATAGCTGTCCTTGGCCTATCACAATCTACCTCACTGTCAAACTGCATGTTCATAGGCCAAATAGTTTTAGTGCAGGATGTAAACGTCCAGGAAGACTAACACCAAATCGATAACATTGTTATTGCTATTGAAATGTGCTAATTTCGTTTTATTCTAATCCATTTATGAATACACATCTAGGCTCAACCTGCACCCCGCACGGGAATTTTGGGCAGAACTGATCCATTCATATTTTTTTGGAGCTCAATTGGTATTTTAAAGTTTTGGAATATGTGTTACTAGGAAAATTTTATTATTGTTACATAGTTGTGTAAAGTGTCATCTCTATGAATAACCAGTTTTTATCTTAAAAACTGACTAGCATATAGTAGAAATGCAAGGGATGACTTTTTATTCTATGCTTAGGAAATTGGCGGTATATCAGAAGTATCAATTTGTATCACACAGAGGTATGACTAATGCTTTAATATTGTCTTCTTACTAGTTACTTGAATTAAAACCAATTTCCGGTGGCGTCTGTTGGGATGACTCTATCGGCTTAGGGTAGACATTTTTATAGTCTTAACACGGAAATAAGACAACACAAGAAAGATATTTTAAAAGCAATTATTGTAGTAGACATTCACCCATTGTTATTCCTTCTGGAAAATATATACGTTATTACCAATTGTGTGGCTGGCTCTCGTTTAACACACACTGGTATCCGTTCTCGAAGTGTGTGCTTTTCAGCCCGGCTCATTTAACATATTGCCAGGAAATTATGATTGCCGTTGACGTTTACTATTCCTTATTATTTTGTTCATTTATCCTTTCCCACGCATCGTTCATTGAGGATTGCATATACGGAAAGTAAAAACTTATCTCAACAAGCACTCAATATGATAACCGTGAAGTTAAACATAATGTTTTTGTCGTTGTAGTCTTATGACCAACGTATCTGTAAGATACTATTTAACTAACTTATTATTTTTTACTCCCAGCTCAGTAGCAGGTAGTGGTAGTTTCAAATCATTTGTGCATGGTTCGATAAAAACCATAATTTAAGATGACTCAACGTATATTTGTTGTTTGAGGGCTGAATGGAATATATTATGGAAAGAAAAATAAATCAGGTACTCAGTGTGAGACCAGAAAATAGTAGTTTAAAAATACGAATCGAAGGGTTTATAACAGAAGTTCATCGTATTTGGATTATTACTTCCTAAGACACTGGGCGAGAAAGTAATGTAATCGTGAATAATTTCGAAAATGTCCGCTAATCTTTGAACCCAATATTACTTGGAAAGTACCAGTCAGATTTTGGTGAGATTTTCACATAAGATTACTACTATGCTTCCTAGTTTTTGAAAATCTATTGAGTGGTGGCAGAGTCAAGGGCGAAAAACATAAAAACAAAAATCACTCATACTTTTTTTGACGTTTCAGAGGATCCTGATCACTTTTTAAAAATTTTTGGGGGTAAAAAATTGAGGTGTGGGGTTGTGGGGGTGGTAGATGGTACAACTGAATTTTTTACGTTGAATGAATGAATGAACCGTGAAATTAGAGGCACTGCGGAGGAGCCAGTGCATACGCCGCTTAAGCATGCCCTTATGCACCTCTACATTCCTTAGATCACAACCCTCGCCCTTTTAGCGAAGTTGAGAATCGCCTTGAGTGCAAGCTCCTTGACGTCCTGAGGGTCCAAAGTAATGGACCCCAGTATAGTCTGCCTATAGTAGCTCAGAGCTTCACAGCGACACAAAACGTGCGTCGAGGTCTCTTCCTCTATCCCGCAGCGCTCACACAAGGGATCCTCAGCCACTCCCAACACGTGCAGGTGGCGCCTTAACGTGTTATGGCCAGACAACAGTCCCACCAGCAACCTTAGGTTGGCTCTACCCAGAGATAGGCAGAAGCGTCCATCCTTAGTACTGGGTCCTTTAATGAGCTCTCGTGCCTGGCGGAGATGTCTAGAGATACTTCTCCATTTCTGAGAGTGTTGTCTTGCAACCCACGTCTCCATTTTCCTCCTAGCTTTATGCGCGGTTACTCCTAGAGCTGGCTCAGGACCAACGAGCTTACTGGCTGATCCTGTTTTCGCCAGAGTGTCCGCCGTCTCATTGCCCCTTATCCCAGCGTGCCCCGGTACCCATATTAACGATACCGGATGCCTCGCTGCGAGGCAATCCAGAGCCTCCCTGCATTGCAATACCAGACTCGAAGTAATCTTACAGACACTTAGTGCTTTCATTGCAGCCTGGCTGTCGGATAAGATTGTTATTCTTCTCCTAGGCCCACCCTCCTCCAGAATGTGAGATACACAAGCCAAAATCGCAAAGATTTCCGCCTGGAAAATGGTGGTGTATCCACCGAGAGGCAGAGATGGCCTAGTTTTAGGCCCAGAGACCCCAGCACCTGAGCCCTCTTCGGTGACCGAGCCGTCCGTGTACCAGACCTGCCCGCTCACTTTGGAGAGTCCTCGGCTACCGGCGTCCCACTCCTCCCTCGTTGGATACTCCACAATAAACTTGCGGTTGAAGCGATATTTAGGGGTAATATGATCACCCCTGCTTAGAAGGACGGGGTCCTTCCTTTCTAATTCGACTAAGATGGCAGTATGCCCCTTGACCGGATTCAAGAAAGCCCAGCTGCCCTGACTCCACAGTCGTTGAGCGACTACTCTCGATTCACCGCCGATCACCAGATCCAACGGTGGGAGATCCAACAGAGTTTCCATTACACTCAATGGCGTTGGTCGCACTGCACTTGTAATGCCTATACAGGCTAAAAGCTGTCTTTTATTGAGTTTGACCTTCGTTGTCTGAGTTCTAATGCAAGGTCACCAGACCAGGGAGCCGTACAAGAGAGATAGACGATAATTTTTTACGTTAGTATATTTATACTGCCCCATCCGTGGTAATTCTACGCACCTTTGCGTGTAGATCATACCTTCGCGGTCCTGCTAATGCATGTCTGCGGCAGCCAGCCTCTACTGCTCGATTGGATGTGGACGGTCTATCGCTATCAACGCCAGATACACACATAGCTTCGATCAAATGCGCCCTCTGGAATATTTCTCAGGGGTTGGGGTAGGACCATCCATCGGTGTGAAAGCGTACCTTCCTCCAAAACTTTTTGAAGATCCAGGAGTAGCATATGTTCTCACTGATATAATACTAAAGATCCCAAACATTTTACAGAAAAGCATGTTCCAGCTAACATTTTTCTTAGAAGGATCAACTTATGCCGACCATAATCCTTTATGAACTGATAACAGATGTGCAGAGTCAACCTACCTGATGTCGCCTTTTTACAGAGCCTTCGAACAGTAATTTATATGTGCTTTAATAATCAATGTAAAATCTTGTGAGAAGATACTTGATTATCCTGTTTCCGACCATAAAAGTTCAAAAAACAAGCGTGAATACACAAAAACTTGAATTATAGGACAATAAAAGCTTTATCTTGGTGAAAAATTTACAATCGTCGTTTGGGCAAGGAGAAACAATACACCAAATCGTAAAACCGTATTATTTCGCAACAATTAAGACTCCTAGGACTTACATAAATTTTACAGGAATGTAATAATCGAGGTTAACATGCTATAAACGCACCCCTCTCTAAAAAAATTGTATAACAGTTGTAGGGTCTAAGAGCCGTTTTACACACAAGAGAATTACTCCAAAAATTATGGTCATAATTATGC